TGAAAAAAAAATTCAAAGTGCGTTGATTTTGTTCCAATTTTAACGCACTTTGAAATTTATTTTCAAAGTGCGTAATTTTTTCAAAGTGCGTTGCCACACATGTTCAATATTTCTCAAAGATATATTAGATAGGCAGTCTGATTAAGGGGTTGTAAGATTTTGTCACAAAGCTACAAAAGCGTGCAAATTGTACATGATTAATCCATAGAAAACAAAAACGCATAATTTAAGCCCCAATTAGAACTTATAATTTCTTAATATTCTAAGGGATTATTTATGCCATTTCCATTCAAATAAATCTTTCAAAAAATATATCTATCTATCCATGCGTCAAATTTTCGTTTGTGGTTATGTGTCCTTTAAACAAAAACATGTAGCAAGGATCCACTCTACCTTGAAAATATACTTTTATGGCACAAAACATATCTTTCCGATAAATATTGGACGTCCAATTAGATCTATAAAGGATAACACCAGAAAAAGGATTTACTGTCCCAACATCACATGTATGCTAGCCGTATGGTGTAGTGGTCAAGCGCAAGACCCCAAGACAAAAGGAATTCTTAAATTCTTCTTTTACTTGGAATATTTGCCGAGAGGAGTTTTCAACAGCAAAGTCTTATTCGTCTTAATTCATATATCTTTTCATAATTAGCATTTTGCTCTTAGAACTTGTACTTTACTACTTATACAGTTTGCATATTTCAAAATTTCTTTGTTTGTTTCTTTTTTTGTACATGAAGATATAGGCATTTTCCACCCCTTATTCGCCCATCTTCTTTTTTCTGTTACATTTAATTCTAGATGCAAATATGTTCAAGTAAATTGTTAGAGATCAGCATGTTTATATTAATTTTTAGGTCTAGTCAATGAATCTTAGATAAGAATTCCCCCTTTTACATGCATTTATCGACATATACATGCTTCCAGAGCTGATTTTGATCCTTCATGGTCCAAAAATGACGTTTTCGATAAAACTGAGTGGACACGTTGATCATTTCAGCCTTAGGCTGTTTGTGAAGCAGTAATATTGTTCTTTAAAAAATGAGCAATACCGCTAGCTCAAAATAGATTTTTTGAAACGAAACATTAAAATATATTAATATGCCATTGTACTAGTGCATATTATTTTTTTCTCACCAAGATTAATTGAGACATTTAAGTTGTTTTTGTTAAAGAACTAGCTTGCGGCCTAAAACGACAAACACATTGTCAAAGATAGTTTAAGTTGACAAGATTTCGCATGAATAGAACCAACTTAAAGTGCACAATGTTTAACACGACGCATGCACTGATGGGGAATTACGAAAGATGCGCATTTATGCAGCTCTCTCTCTCTCTCTCTCTCTCTCTCGGAAGGGGTGGGGTGGGGTGAAGTCTGTGTGTACTGCTACATATACTTATAGAGATCAATGTGTCTCAAATGTCGTAGATCACGTAGCTAACAATACTAGTACTAGTAGTAGAATATACCAACAGAGCATGCGTATCTTTTCTATTGTTAGTACTTTCATACTGACAAACTATAAAAATTTTTGACCTGTGTATTATCAAAATCACAAAGAGCCCACTAAACTTTTTTTGTTTTTTACGTTATTTATGCATTTTCTTTAGTACATGTCTATTTTTTTGGGGGGGGGGGATATAAAGAAAGAATATGTATCAGTATGTTTACGCCATATAGATCATCATATAATGTCATATGTTACATGTGAATCACAATGAACAGAAGAAAAAACTGTTTTTCTTCGCCACATTCATTTTCCTCAGACGTGTATATACAAAAACAAAAGAAGATCGTGCTCCGCACGTAAACCATGTACACAATGCAAACACGTTGACCTCTCAAAGTGATTAAGGTTATATTCAAAACAGAGCAAACGTGCGCCAAAATATCAGGCAAATGTACATTTAGCCGACTACTGCTGTGAGAAATGTGCTAAATACGACCCAGAATTTCAAATTGAATGTTTGTATTATGTTAAATCAATCGTCGATCGTTAAAAAAATAAATAAATGACGACATTTGTCTGCATGCGCTAATAATTCAAAGAATTTTATTTTAAGGCACTTAAAGTATTATACTGTACTAAAATCATGCCAAGTCACCGACTGTCGTAAACAAGTTTTTGGAATGTTACGTTTCCTTGAAATAATATAAACCAATGGGAAAGCTTTTTAAATTATATACATGTATCATGAACTGGAAAGCATTCTTAATTGCCGTTAAAAGTAAATTGTCAATGTATTAAAATTATATTTCATGGAATATTCAAGCATTGCTAGACTGATAATAAACTCCTTAAAAATATTCTATACATGTGGTATTTTTGTTATCTCTTAAAAGTTCGCGTTTTCATTTTTTAAATTATAACTTTCTAACGGTTTTCACGTGTTTCTTAAATTGACATATTTCTTGAAGATTTATTTCCACAGATATGGAAAAATTACTAACAAAACTATTGTTGTCTTCATTTTCATTAAAAAAAAAAATTGTTACAAAACATATGACTTCTTGACATGTTTTATTAGACATTTATACTGTGTATTGCTTAACAGCAGATTAAAAGCTCTAAAAATTTCTTAATTGCAGATATAACCGTTTTCAAGTTTTCCCTGAAAAAAATAATATTAAAAATTGTTTTATTAAGAAAATGAATTAAATCAGCATTTAATTAAGAATTGCGTCAATCTTTGAAAATCCCTTACAGCTTATGGCGACATTGGACTTGCCAAAAGTTCAATTAGTTGTTTCAGTGAAGATAGCGAGATGGTTAAAATAATGTTCATTCTGGGTGCTTAATTAAAGTGAATTGGGATTAGTAAGTGTCCATGGTTGAGCAAATTGAAACGAAAGATCGCCTTGCCATAGTTATAAAAAGAGAAATACAATGTACTGTATTTAGGGTACTCCCCACAGGCACTTGTTTCGGAACTATTTTTTTTTAACCCATAGTATAATAATACTATGGGTTAAAAAATTATTTCCGAAACAATTGCCTGTAGTATTAATTCCCCTGAAATATTGGTTTTAAAAGATTATACGACAAATTGAAAATACTAATTCAAATTCCATATCAATTTGATACACGACATATTCAAGACAAGAGGGGTCGTAAGTAAGTCACGAACAAAAAAAAATCTAATCCACCCATCCTATTGACGAAATTGGTAAGGAATCTGAACACTTCGCTACGGGTTGATACTTTACAAAAGAATAGTCACTAAAACCCAATTCAATTTCATCTATTGAAATTATTCAATTATAGCTTGCAAATTTTTTGTAACCTCGTACATCAATACCACTGGAAAATGTATAATTTATCTTTTGCGATACTTAATTCTTAACTATAAATTCAAGTTTCAACCTTAATTATAATTCTTTAAGTATATACACATGTATATGGTTTATGAAATTTAAACCACCTACAGGCCTTTTAGCAGATTAAATCTAAAACATTGACTTAATCTATAAAGCTGACCGAATTCTGGTTTGACCTAGATTTTATTATGGTCAGTAGGAGGTAAACAAGAACACACACCTGATCAGCAGGTAAAAAGTGGACAACAAAATCCTTTACAAATGAGTCTACGGTCCTCATCCCGCAGGTCACTACAAAAAATTTCCATGACAGGTTAAGGTGGTATACATGTACATGTATACATTTAATTGTCCGAAAAGGGATTAGACAATAGTTGTCATGATTTAAATTTACACTTCTAACTTAAGTGTAAGTTGTCTTTATAGACATCTTATTCGTTAATTGATTTAAATAGGTTTTGGAGGACGTGATCCCGCTACAGAAGGGAGAAACATATTTTGGAGATATGTATACCAAGGTTGGGAGGTTAAAAAGATGCAGGGGAGATGCAGTCCTGAGCGACCAGTCAGGGCAGGGGCCCACAACCACACCAACATTGGATTTTTAAATCTTATGTATATTTAGGACACAAGAAGGGGGAGGGGGTGCTTGGCCCCTCTAAATCTACCTGTGAGATGAGCGTGTTAAGGGGAGGAATGGAACAGGAGGGTGAAGAAAAAGAGGCAGGACTTTGTGAAACTTGAAATGGGACTGGGAAAGGGGGGTTTGGAACATCTTTCAAATCAACACTTTTATATTAGGATCACATACGCACTCACTGCATGAAACAAAACAAGATTTATTGTTAAAACATTACAATTTGTCTCCCAGTCTTAGTTTAATGCTGTTTTATAAATTCTTTCATCTCACACAACCAAAATTTAGAAATTCAAAATCATTTAAAAATATTTCTTCTTTATACATGTATAATAAGATTTATATAAAATTGATTTCATTACGTTAAATCGACCTGAAAACAAAAGGAATAATTTGCTCCAAGTTTTAGCTGTTTATGAATTAAATGGACAATGGTCACTCAGTGCTCTTTAGCAGATGAGAATAGTGTAAATATTTTGATTATAGAAACCCGTCGGAATTCGGACAAGGTCAGAGGATGGTTCCTGCGACTGGTAAACAAGTCTAAATCACCTCACCGTAATCTGCAGGGCTGAAAGTATTAACACACTTGAAATACGATCCCCATGTCTAGATTTATTTTTAAAAATGTCAACAAAGAGATAACCTTACTTGCGAACTAACCAGTAAATGTCAAGTTCTTTTCCATTGTTGGTCAAAGGGACAAAACTCGTAATAACGTTTCTTATAGCAAGAAATAAATCGTATACAACTTTGTATTTCATTAATACATCACATAATAATACATCACATTAACCTTAGGAATTAAATAGATTGAATGAAACAATCGATACCTCAAGAACACTTTCGAAATCGACCAGAACACATTCTAAACGAATATTGTCTCTCAGAGTTGAATATCCCATGTGGAGCCCCAGTGACGAAATGCATAATTGTTATTTTCGGAAGCATTCAGCAACAAAATTTATTATATCTTTCTTTATTCGCCATTAAACCTGCCTAAAAACCACTATGCCTCAAATTAAAACTTTCATTTCTCTAAAAGATCATGGATCTTGGTCATTCTTGCGTTTATAATAATGGCGACCTGCATCGTTAGTTATTCGAGCATTGACTTCCGGTAAAAGTGGTTACGGGAACGTGAAGAAAATGGCGCCCAAACATTCCAGTTATGTGTTGCAGAAATATTGTGGTATGCATCAATGTTAGCACGTTTTTGATCTTTTTGTATATATTATTTTTTTTTCATATGTTAATATATCTTATCAAACAGAAGTATGAGCTACTTGCTGCGTTGCATACAAAGAAAAAGTGAAATTGAAGACTTATGATTGATGTCTATATATATGGTATTCATTTGTATTTTGCCTGCTCAGTTTTGGCAAGAAGACGTGACATATTAATATTTAGAGAAAATGTTATAATGATGTAATATGTTGAAAATATGCAAAAGTAAGAAATGACAGTCTAATGAAAAATGTCACTGACTTAACTGTTAATTATGTAAACTGGTAAATATAACTTGATTGAATGTTAGTACATGTAAGTTGACACTGCTAAAGATGAAATTTAGGAGCTGATAAACATTGATAAATTTCAGTCTTTTATATATAAAATAAAAAGCTATTGTTAGCATATAGGACACAGTCGAGGTACAAGATCATTGATCTTGATGTCGTGTGAAAGGGCTTAATTAGTGGAGTATGCATGCCAAATATTAAGTCTCTATCTTTCTTCATTCAAAAGTTATGGCGAAGGTTAAAGTTTGCCGACAAGGCTATATTTAGGGTATAGGTCACAGTCAAGGTCACAGGTCATTGACTGTGGTTTTAATTAAAAGAGTTTAATCAGTGGTGTTTGCATACCAAATATGAAGTCTTTATCTTTTGTGGTTCGAAAGTTATGGCAAAGGTTAAATTTTGCAGAAAAAACTATTTTTAGTATATAGGTCACAGTCAAGGTCACAAGGTCATTGACGTTGGTGTCATTTGAAAGTGCTTAATTAGTGGAGTATGCATACCAAATATGAAGTGTCTTTCATTCATGGTTCAAAAGTTATGGCGAAGGTTAAAGTTTTCAGACAAACAGATTAACAGAAAAACAGACAGACAGGACAAAAACAATATATGCCTCGGATCTTTCGATCTGGGCGCATAAAAATTAACAATTTCGTTAAATTATTTACATAATATATCTACCCATATCTTCTATCAAATATGATCAGATGACGCTTATACCTGATTTTTAACTTTTTATATAAAATAAAATAAAATATTTCAATATAGAGGATCACTCATCAATATTTTCTACCTTGGGAGGGAAAAGGGCAGATCTGGCCCCAAGACCATAAACTGAGAACAGACTTAAGTCAAAATCTAAAACCAGTACAACTTTGGAAATAACATAATTGACAATGAAACAAAATTCGAGATATTAAAAATCAAAATTTTGACTTAAGTCTATTCTCATTTTATGGTCTTGGGGCCTGATCTTTTTGCTGAAATTTTTATTTTTACATTGATTTATAACACAGTGACAAAACTGTCTGAAATAAAAAAAAAATCATTAAATTTTTTAAAAATCTAGACAAAATATAAGAAAAGTGCATGTATCTACAATTAGTGAGTATTTCCATTGGGAAATTTCTTTTCTTACCGTTTGGTGTCTTCAATAACATTTGAATTAATATTTTATATCATTATACCCCCCCACTTGAAAAGCGGGAGGGTATATAGTAATCGGTATGTCCGTCCGTCTGCCTATCTGTTACGCTTTGGGGTACCCATCTCTTATCCGCAACGCCTCTTATACCACTGAGTGAAATTTAATGAAACTTTCACAGAATCTTTATTACATATTGCCATTGTGCACCTCCTATTTTACTTTTTGACTAGACACACATTTTGGGTTTCCCGGCCACAGCAAAACATGGACTTTGCCATTATAATCATATGGGAGGCGGGGTATCATTTAATGAGCTCATTGCTCACAATACCTCTAGTTATTTACTGCACTGCATCGGGATACAACAAAGCGTAACAGACGGATGGACGGACAAACCGATTACAGTATACCCTCCCACTTTTCAAGCGGGGGGTATAATCAGAAGACAGTTACAAGGCCGATATTTACATGTGTAGAAAATTATAAATTGCAACTACTACATTTTGAATCAAATATTTTTAAAAAATAAATATTTAATTCGCTGACAATTTATTATAACCCCCACTTGAAAAGCGGGAGGGTATATAGTAATCGGTGTGTCCGTCCGTCCATCCGTCTGTACGTCCGTCTGTGACGCTTTGGAATACCCATCTCTTATCCGCAACTCCTCTTAAACCACCGAGTGAAATTTAATGAAACTTTCACAGAATCTTTATTACATATTGCCATTGTGCACCTACTATTTAACTTTTTGATCTGACACATATTTTGGGTTTCCCGGCCACAGCAAAACATGGACTTTGCCATTATAACCATACAGGAAGCGGGGGGTATCATTTAGTGAGCTCATCGCTCACAGTACCTCTAGTTCACATTCAAATTGATTTTCTTGTTAGTAAATAAAAAGTCGATGTTTTTAAAAAAGAAGAGGAAATACGTAGGCATATAAATTGCTCTCAAACCGCAATAGAATAAGAAAGAAAGAACCATTGTTCTAATTGTGAATGTACTCTGAAATACACGTCCACTAATTAATAAGCATACATTTAATTCTAAATCAGAAGACAGTTACAAGGCCGACATTTATATGTGTAGAAAATTATAAATTGCATCTACTACATTTTGAATCAAATATTTAAAAAAAATTATATTTAATATTTAATTCGCTGACAATTTATTATACCATCCACTTGAAAAGCGGGAGGGTATATAGTAATCGGTGTGTCAGTTCCAGAGTTTTATGTCTGTGAGGAATATATTAAACATGCAACTCCATAAACCACCAGTGAAATTTAATGAAACTTTTAGATTAATTTTAACAATATACACTGTGTTTATATATCATTTTTAGTATTTTTACTTTTAAAAAAAAAACATGGACTTTGCCATTATAACCATATGGGAGGCGGGGGTATCATTTTATAATGTTGAGCTTATTACTCACAATGCGTTTAGTTTTTTCCTCCCCTTTTTTACATTAAAATTGATTTTCTTGTTAGTAAACAAGAAGTCTATGTTTTAAAAAAAGATGATGAAATACGTATATTTATAAATATCTCTCAAACCGCAATAGAATAAGAAAGAAAGAACCATTGTTCTAATTGTGAATGTACTCTGAAATACACGTCCACTAATTAATAAGCTCAATCTTAGATAATGTACCTGTATAAAATGTGTTAGTTGAGGTTTACTTTTGAATTGATAGAAAAAAAAGAAATGCATTTCCGCAGCGTTAACAATTGAGCGAATCTGTTTTTGTAAGTTGCAGAGTTTTATGTCCAGGAATATATTAAACATATCCATGTAATATATTTTGTTAATTGTATCGATTAATTGTTTAGAATATACACTATGTTTATATATAATTTTTAGTTTTTACTTTAAAAAATATATATATTTAGAAGACTTAAATATAAGAATCCTTTTTGTATTCATTTTTAAGAACTGCGACCTCTCATATTAGTTCAAAAATTAATTAATTCCCCTTTTAAGAAAAGTAGGAAATCGCTCTAACCAATCAAATTAGTTGAATAAAAGCCAAATATGACAGTTCGTAATATCAAATATTTTTTATAGGTCTTTACTCTTTAGAAAATTACAGGTTCAGGGCCATAAAACTTATGATGAGCTCACTTTTGATTTCTGTTTCAATTTTACAAAAGGAATATATAATGGGAATGTGAGGTTGAAATCAAATGTTTATACCCCGGAGCCTGTAAAAAATCATGACACATAGAATAAGCAAAGAAAACACTAAATATCACTTCTCTTTTTTTCAGTTTTATAATGGTTTAGTTGGAAAGAAGCATGGATGCAAAAGGATTAACTGGCAAAGAACAAAGTGTAAATGATGACCCACCGAATTATAGCTTCAGCGAAAAACTTCCAAATAGTGACGTCATGAAAGAGCTTCCACAAAATGACTCCATGAAAAGTCCCGGATCTTTGGAACAGCATGAAAAATTCCGTGAGTGCTGTCAAGTTGTTGATGTATGCAATGACGCTGATGATACTGCAGAACGGCTCCAACGCAGTCGCGAAGATTCAGTTGTAATCGGTCTCGATTCAAATTCTACTAAGCTAAGTGGAGGTAGAAATGAAAGAGAGTTGTTATCTGAAACATTGTCAAATTTTCCTCAAGATGAAGGTTACTTAAAAGCCCCTCAGGATGTCGAAGTTGCATTTCCTACAAGTAAAAACCAAGATCTCCACGATGGATTTAATTCTAATGATTTAACTTTAAAACAATTTGAAAAGGTAGATAAAGAAATAGATGCTGAGAAAACTCAATCAAAAGATAGCGAGGTTTTATGTCCAGAGAATAGGAATGAACTAGGCTCTAGTTTTGAAGATAAAAGTGATGTCTTCCAAATAAAGAATTTAAACAGTTGTAAGAAAATTGAGTCAATACCTTTCACTGAAGAAATCGATGTCGTAAGAACTTTACCAGGATCAGTGCAATTGTGTCAAACCGTCAACAGGGAAGGTAAAAATAAGCCGCTCATCGCTCCACGTGAAAACGTAATATTATTTAGTGAAGCTTTCGAAAAGGGGGAAGATTTGGCACAGAAAAACGAATCAACCGACAATGCATGTTATGAACTCGATGGAAGCGAAAGTAGTGTAAGATCTATCGAAAGTAAATCCAGATCGCAAGAAGATGTCGGCGAAAGGGGGACAGGATCAGTGCAATTGTGTCAAACTGTCAACAGGGAAGGTAAAAATAAACCACCCAGCGCTCCATATGAAAACGTAATATTATTTTGTGAAGCTTTCGAAAAGGGGGAAGATTTGGCACGGAAAAACAAATCAATCGAAGACGAAGTAGGCAGTAAAAAAAGTGTAAATGACAATGTTGAACTTTTGACAAAACAGGTTTCAAACACAGAATACAAAGACAATAAAGAACAAGACAATGGCAATTCAAAATTCCTCGATCCTATCGTTGACGGAAAGATTCTCAATGATACTTTAAATAAAACAGAAACACAGTTGCAGCAGATTGATAACACTGTAAAACTTGATCATTCTCAGTCACAGGAAGTTTCCACAACAGAAGACAACAAGGATAATAATGAGATAGTAGAACAAAATATAGACAAAAGCTTGGTGGAATTAAAGGATAGCAATAGTCCCAGGTTTGAATCGTGTGAAGTATTGACTTTAGAGATTGATAGGAAAGACCTGAAAGTTGAAGGTTCGTCGCTGTACCAATCTGATGAAGTGTTCATGAATAGCAGTGCGACGGTTTCAGATCTGTTAAGTGTTACAACCAAGGAGGAAAGGCTCAGGGAGCTTTCTTACAATGCGTGTTATGAACTCGATGGAAACGAATGTAGTGAAAGATCTAGAGAAAGTAAACCCAGGTTGCAAGAAGACGTTGGTGAAAGAGAGACAGAAACCGTTCCAAAAATCTTAGCTGAGACCAGCGGCACATCTAATGTATTTCTCACAAATACCAGTATAATTGGTAATAATCATGAAGTAGAAGGTTTAGAAAAAAACTCAATGGAAGTTGACGATTCTACTTGTCCAAAATTTGAATGTGAAGAGACAAATTTGGCACAAGATAAGAAAAACCTGAATGATGAACATCAGCCGCAGTACCAATCTGATGATGTGAATTTGAAGAGCAGAGCCAAGGTTTCAGACACATTAAGCACTCCAGCCATTGAGGATAGTTTCAAGGAGCATTCTTATTGTGCCAGTTTTGAATCTGGTGGAAACACCGTGCCTAGATTTACGTGCATCAGTGACGGATCTCGTGAAACTTATTCCAGTTCGGAGGAAGAAACGATTGATAAAATAGAGACAGATGCCGTACCAAAAATCATAGCTAAAATCAGCGGCATGTCTAATGTTTCCCACACAAATGGTAGTGCTAACAAGAACCATGACAACACTGAAACATTATTTTCTGAATTTTCAGAGGGAGATCTTGATTTTACGATTGAAATCAATAAAGAATTTGAAATAAGTGAGGTAAACTGTCCAAACAGTGAACTCTTACAAAAGTTTAACACAAGTCAAAACGAGAAAATGCCTACTTCTCATTCATTAGAGACGCTTAACACTAATCCAGTACAACCTGTGGAATGCTTTCCAAATTTATCGTCAGTGGAGTTTCGAAGGGATCAAATATTTCACGACCACAGATACAGTCTGATAAGTAAAGAGACCATAGCGGTCATAGCGCATGACCATACTTATAGTATCGATGCTTACACCAACGATTGTCTAAATCCTAGATCAAATCTGACTGTTCACACGAAAGTGGGACCAATTATAATACACAAGGCCCCGGAACCTGTGGACAAAAGAAATGATACTTACACGAAGGAGGAACCAATTAGAATACACAAGGCCCTGGAAACTGTGGACAAAAGAAATGATACTCACACAATGGAGGGACCAATTTTGATATACAAAACGCCGGAATCTGTGTACAAAAGACATAATACTCACACGATAGAGGGGCCCATTAGAATGTACAAGGCACCGGACACTGTGGAGAAAAGAAATGATACTCATGTTGTGATCCACAGGCAAACCGAAATAAATGAAAAATTTCATACGCAACCCAAGCCGCAGACAACAAATCCTGGACCTTTGGTTGTGTACAATCCAAAGACCACACGGAGAGACCTTGATAAAGCTACGACCCCTTCATTTTTCGCTCAGACTGAAGCAAACAAAGAAAAATTATTTTTAAAAACAAAAACTGGAATTTTGTCGGTACAGACAGTCCTCCACCGTGCGGAGACCTCAAAGAACACTCAACATCAGTTGAAAGTTGACAACCCGAATAAGTGTGGAAACATTTCAGACAATTTTTCAGTTTCATATCAAGGAAAAGAAACCATGGGAAATGTAAAGAGTAGTATGTTAAAATCTATTCATATGCCAACCCCAAAACCTGCAGAAACTCGCACATCAGGAGGTAGTGGATTGATTGTTCAACATGTTAGAAGATATGTGCATGACAGTAAATCAGGCACTGTGTCTGAAGAAAAAATATCAGAATCGTTCATGCTGCAATCAGAACATGATAAACCAAAGCCATATAAAACATTGGTGGTAAAGAAAACCTATTGTGATGATAGTCCAGAAGAATGCAATGAAAACAAGGAAGACAACAGAAAAGGCAGACTCGATTTATTTCACGGTTATGCAAAGACATTCAGCGTTAAAGGAGTGCCTCCAAATAATTGCTTTCAAAAATACCAAGCCAATAGGCAACCTTATTATCCTAGTCAAGATGCAGAAAACATGGTTTACCCTGAAAAGAAACCTAGATATTTTTCTGTCATACATCCACAGGAAAGAGTTGTATCTCTGTTAGATGGTCAAACAAAACCAAGCATCATTCAAACAATAATTCCAGATGTGAAAATTCCTGAAGCTACAGACGGGTCTTATTTCAGCCGTATTAAACAGCTGCTCCCTTTACGGAAATTTTATCATATCTCGAAGAAATCCTTGAAAGAAAAGTTTTTAGTTGTAGAACGAGCCGACGGTTGTTGTTATTTCAAAAAACTATATTCACCTGAAATAAAAGATGGTGTCTACCTAGAAGTGATGTACGAGACAGATGATATTTTCGCAGAATATATTGCAAAACAGTTGCAAGACCCATCATTTGAAATAACAGAAAATGTCCCTTTCACCAAGAATAGGAGATGTTGTAATCAAAAGACACCTGAAGCAGAGAAAACAATATTTAGAAAGGAGACCTTAAATCATGAAAGCGAAGAGGACGTGGAAACATTGAAAAAGATAGCTGGTGATCCTGTTAAAACAAAATTGCCTAAGAATCGAAAACCTTGCACAGAAATTCCACGACTTCAGAAAATCAAGGAGAGATGCAAGAAAATGATGTGGCGTGAGGGTTTGAGGATGTATACCATACCTATAGATGAAGTAGATTTTTGGAGTTGGCCAACTAACTTCTATGATCCATGGGATGATCCAAAGCTGAGAAAATTCTCTAGAGTTGTACTTAAATCTCTCAGTCTAGAAAACATGCATTTGAAAGGGATTGATGCACGATGCAGTAAAAGTTGCCGACAAGACATTGTGTGTATGTCATTAAATGCAAAAATTAGAAAGTTAAGACGGGAAAGGAAAAGGATATGTCGCGAGTTTGAAATTCCCCTCAGACGAGTTTCATTGCCAAAAAACAATGACAGTGTTTTCCTAGATAAAGAAAATGCGTTGAATATAGAAATGAATGTCTTTAAAACCTCTGAGGGTGTTTGTATTCCTGCAGCAAAGGAACTGGAAAACGAATGTTCTGGAAGTGAAAAAGTACAATCTCTTTGTGAAAGCGGGAGAGAACTTAGCATCTCCAGTGGGTTTGTTTTCAGTGAAGAGCAAAACGAAAACATGTTCAATATGCAAACTATAAATGAAATTAAAACAGAAAGTAGAAGTGAAAATGAGACATCACCTCTCTTTGAAAAAGCGTATGAAATTCCACAAGAAAATCAGTGGAATTTAGTAGCAGTTAAAGAGGAACCCGTGTCCCAAGGGTACGGTGATGAATCTGTTGACTGTAAAGTACGTTCAAGACAGGAAGAATTACTTGAACAAATAGAATATGTCAGAGATGAACCTATTTCAGGAGGTTGTGCACAGTATTTGGGTTCAGTGCAAAGTTCAAATAGCAGGAAAAGATGTTTTTCAGAATACGAAATAGATAATGATGGTCAGGGTCTTTCTTTTGTGGACCAAGACATGCTGAATTATAAATTGGAACAGGAAATGGACGTCGCTGCTAGACATACACAAATCCAGTCTTCTGGCCCATCTCCTAATAAGATACCTGCCATCAATCCTTCGGAAAACTTGGGATTTGGAAATTATGATGATTATTCTAGTGAAATGATACCCCAAATAAAGATCGAAAATGTTAACGTGACACATGCAACAAATGAAAACATTGAAGCGGAAGCAGGTGTAGAAGACAGAATAAACAATTTTCGAACATTTTTAAAGCAGTGTGAGAAGAAAATCTGTGCTTTAAAGGAAACTATGACTTTCGAGGATAAGAATTAAGTTCAATTCTGAAAAGTTACTGTAAAAAGAATTTTTCTCAAATTTTTTTTTTGTATAAAAATGAAACTGCAAAAGTGCAAAAAGAAAAACATTTTTAAGTTGTTTTATTAAAATTGAAAATTATTTCAGTGTGATGTAATCGGAATTCTTTTATATAACCCGTTGCATTTCTTGTCATCTTAAATAATATTTTCCCGAACAAAGTTGTCCGATAAATTGTTGTAGCTAGACCACTAGTTTTGTGTAAGCGGTGTCTTGGAGGTGTCTTGTCATTCAATTTTTTTTAATATTAAAGAATGATCAGTACCTCAAGCTGCTGTGCATTTAAAAAAGAAAGACATCTATATCTTTTAGGGTCATATTATTTGTATGTCTGTGTCTGTATCTGTCTGAATGTCAGTGACACTTTGTTATGAAGAAAGAAAATGGTTCAAGATAACACTTTCAAAATTTGTAATGCAGTACTTATAAAGAAAACTAGTACCTATTTAAACAGAAAAATATGACCATATAAAAATATCCATTTCTTGACAATAAAGGTCCATTGGCACATTCTCATGAATACTTTTATAATGACCCTTTAAATTCTGTCTGTGGTCTTCCATTAATTCCAGTAAACATTTACATGATTGTATCAATGAATTTTTATTACAGTTTATATTATAAAAGCTACACATGTCGCCTCAATTCATCACAGTGAACAAAACACACCAAAGAGACTTTCACATTCTATAATCACATTTTACCTTTCTATGGATCCAACATTGTAGTCCTTTTTAGTTTTAGTTTGACTCGCTTTAGCGTAGTCCTTGAAATGAGTCCATCTTTCTTTAATTTTGACGTCAAGTTCAACAATTCAGTCTCAGTAAAAATACAGTTTAGGCTATAACCGCTCAAATTAATATTTCAAACTTGGTAAATGAATAGCATTAAAACAAGATGCACTTCAGAAAAATGTTCGATCTTCACTCAGTTCATTTGACATGAAGACTTCAAACAGATACCAGTACGTTTAGCTCGGAATGTTTAGTACTTGATGCAATATGAAGAAAACCAACAAGGAATTAGACTTGTTAAAATTAATTCATAATCTTGCACTCAATAATGAAATATATGGCGATGACGAACAATACTAGTATTCAAGCTCAAAGATAATTAAACAATACAAAACAGCATAGCAAACACAGACCTCCAAATCAACAGAGGTGGGATCAGGTACCATAAATGAGTGATCACCCCCTTCCGTGTGTTCTTGTTATGATCGACAATTCAGTGTGTTAATACTGGCCTAACAATTAGTATAAAAACAGTCTTGTTTGACTCAGTGATAAATATCTGACAATGTCTTTGTATCGACCATCGAACGTACAACATTCTTGTTTCATCAACTTGTTCGTCAAATATTTATTTCGTTTTAGAAATTGTACATTTGTAGAGCATGCTCTTGCGTATCAAATCAACTTAGATATAAACCCCGTATGCAGATGATGAAAGCATATTGCTGCATAAGTACGGGAAGTTGACAATTGAAAAGAAAGTCATCACGTTTATAATAAAGCCTGGTTGTTAGGTTACCATTAACGTCTCTTTAAGGTCAGGCGATACATTCCCCAAATATCTGTTTTGTATATCTTCTCAAAATATGAAAAATATGCAAAATTTTTATTACTGTCTGATTTCTAAACCGTCTTCTAATTGTTTTTAAATTTTTTTTTAGTTTTTTCCCTAAAGGATTATATAAGAAATGCCACCGTCTGGTATCTCGCACAAATGCCTGGTAAGGTACCTCAATTTTTTGGAGTAAACATGTTAAGAAACCTCTCTACACTGCACACTAAAGAGTTCTGATTCTAAGGTATTTTTCTGCAGTTAGAGTGATCTACCCTTAGGACTAAATTTTAAAAAATAGAAATTTACACAATATTACTGAATTTGTAATCAATTCAAGTATTCTCAACATTTTTAAAGGCCAGTATAAATTAACTGAACGTGTTATTTACACGTATTTTCTCTATTGAAGTAATTAACAGCGATATCCTTTCACTGATACTGTGTTGTCTTTGAACATTTTTCCCGTGGGTAAATGCCACGCACCATACATTGAAAATTAGATAGATACGCACAATATTAACTCCTTTATGCAATAAATTTTTCTCAATGTCCAAAAAATATTTTGCAATGGTGTAGAGAGGGTCCTTAAAGCAGTAATTCTTCAATGACAAAATCTTGGAAAAAAATATATATTAATGAGGAAAGTCTTGTCTGTCCTTAAGGTCAGACAACACGTTCCTCAAAAACTTTTCCCAAGAACTTGTCATTGAAGTCTAGGTACTTAAACAAGTTTCTTCACAAAATATTAGAGTACCTTACAAGGCATTTGGATAACACAGAGTGATATTTCTTATATATCCCATATGTATAATCCTCTGAATGGCCTATATCACAATTTTGGATGTACTTATATTCACAAAAAAATTGAAAACAATGCAGAAATATATCACAAGACAATAACAAATATGCAATATTTTTAATATAATACTAGTATCAAGAGATGCAAAAGATATATTTGATAAGGTAAGATAAACTTTATTCAAAGTCAGTATGGTAGTTAAAAAATAACGCAAGCTCTAATGAGCTTTTGAGTGACATTGTTAACATATACATAACAGTAAAACAATGAAAACATGCAGGACTATATATACATAGAAATACTTGTGACAATACAGCACACAGTCTCATTTAGAGGACATAGAGGAATGTGTCGTCTGACCTTAAGGTAAAATACCAGTATCAAAATATGAAATAGATATGTCAGACTCTGTGGTATCTTCTATCTCAAGCTCACCGGGATATATAGTATCGACATAAGAATGGAATTAACCATTGTTAATTGACAGTTGGCGATATACTTAGTGTCTAGATGTCGAGTTGGAGACTACAGCAAGCGTTTTCTTCTTTTAACGTGTTAGACTTTGGACAAATTCTGCTTCATGATTACAAAAATAGGTCTGCTAGTAACGGAGCGCAATTGGTACCTATGGGAATTCCAACATATTGTTGGAAGACCTAATCTCCAAAACCCAATAGATATCGTCAATCAGGAAATTAAGCATCATTTTTATATAAAACCTATGTTGTTTATAAAGGGTAGAAAGGTATTTTTATGTAACAAAAGCAATACCCACTGTTTATGTTTCCCAAGGAATTCTGATCGAAAAATCAAGAATTTATTTTTTTAAATATTTTGTTGTGACTATCATTAGCTTTACCATGTATATTATTTTACATGTATGTAAAATAAAATTATTCATGAAGAAAAAAAATATTTTTCTTCAAGTACATATAAATATATTAGATTTATTCCAATGTTACACAAACTACTGATATAAAACTCAATGGTCTGCGGTCCGTGTAACACTTAACAATTCAAATTTCTAAAATGATTTTGAGTTTTAGAATGTTAACATATTAGTTCAAATATCTAAATTAAAAAAAAACTCACTGATTTGGTATATATTGAAATTTAATATTTTAGTTCAAAAACCTAACTTTTCAAATTTCTAAAAAGGTTTTAGAATTTTGATATTTTAGATTTTTACCTTAAATAGTCAAAATTCAAATTTCCAAAAACGATTTTCAAATATTCAAATTTCAAATAACCAAAACACTTTGAGTTTTAGATTTTTAATTTAAAATCTAAAATATCAAATGTTCAATCCCGATTTAAATTTTGAATATTAGATCAACATTCTAACTATCTAAAAGCTCTTTTGCTTAACCAAAAGATCTTTTGAAATAGTTTCAAAATTCAAACCAGGTTTGGAACTTGATATTTTTGGATATTTGAAGTAAATATCTAAAAACTCCAAATGTTTTAGTTATTTGAAATTTGGGTGTTTGAATCATAAATTCTCATTTCAAAAAATCTAATTAAACGTTTTAAAAGTTGAAATTTAGAAGTTTGAAGTAAATTTTGAAATATCAAAAGTCGTCAAACTGTACCGAACTTTAGATTGTTAAGCGTAAACTTATTAAATAAATGGTCTAAAATACAAAATTTGTTTTTGGAAATTTAAATTTTGAATGTTTAAAGTAAAAATCTAAAAACCTAAAATTCTAAAACCTGTTTGGAAATTTGAAAATTTAGGCTTTTGAAGTAAAATATTAAATTCCAATGTACGAAATCAGTTTGAGGTTTTGAAATTTAGAAATTTGAACTATTATATTAACATTTTAAAACTCTAAATCGTTTTAGAAATTTGAATTGTTAAGTACCACGCTTACAATGAATATTACAATAGTGAACGTTTTCTCAATGGTGGTTGAAATCTAGTTTTTCTTTTGAAATGGGTATTTTTATTGATATAATTATGATATTTATTTTTTGTGAACATTATTCAGTAGTGGTTGTTACCTGGATTTGGTTTTGAAGTGCATTCTTAACCACTATTGAAGCAATTATTTCAATAATGAACTTTATTTCTATAGTGGTTGAAACCTGTGTTCTGTTTTAAAATGCACTTTCAACCACTATTGAAATAATTGTTTCAATAGTGGACGTTACTTAAATAGTGGTAGCAACAATGCTTATACTTATTGTCGGCATCGATCCCATCACTGGCGTTTTCCTTGCTTTTGCCATGTACTAACAAGTCTCGATCTTTGCTAGATTTAGGAAATTGAACATCACTAATATGTCCACCTTTTTTTATGTCACAAGTGAAAAGAAAACATTCAATTTTTTTTTTCATTAAATCAAAACATGTATTCCATTTCTTTGAAACACCTGCAAAATGAATCGATTGTGACAGTTTCTGTCAGAAATAAGGAAAAGATTTTTTTAAAAAAATATATTTACAATATATATTTCGTTTCACCTCAATATTTTTTGTTGTTGTTTATTTTTTTTAATTTCTTTTTTTTATTGAAATAAAAATAATAAATTTGAAAGTCGATATTATATGACTGGACTGGTTCCTTGGATTCAAATGTGGACCTAACGGCCACACTTCTGTACTGGACTCACTTGTGGAATGGAATGCTTCAAGTGATCCTTCCGACTGAATAATCATGAAAACTTCTACTTCTCCTTCTTACTAACTACTAAGGTCACAGAAGTGTGTAGAATATCAGGCGTATGGATAATTAAAAAGAAGCAACAATATTTTGGCACAGGACGACAGGTCCTTCTCTGGTGCCTGCTACATGTACGCCAAAACTGACCAGCACGACTATTAAAGTTCCTAACCTGTCCAGAGAGTTTAAACTTTCCTATAAATACATGTAGTACTATGGGCAGACGTTTGGGATTTTTAAAAATACTTACTTGGAAAAAATAATTATGACTCACAGTTTGGACATTATATGACATCCATTCTTCCAAACATAAATTAGTAAGAATACTGCTTGTTTACTTACAAACAATACATATTCTGTGATATTTAAGTGCTAGACTTATATTTCACACTGTATCCATAAAGAAGCTTTCTTTATTCTTTTTAGACCTTTACGATGGATCAATATTAGTCATTCAAAACTAAGAAAATTTTAATTAATTTGACTTCAGGAATGTTCATCCATATAGGATGCGTCATTTTCTTGTGCACCTATGTCGATTAAATCCAATTTATGTGGATGCGCCGTGTTTGTATAGCACTCGCTACAAATATCAAAATCAGGACAGGTATTACAGTGATACCTGAAATCAGTTATTGGATTATCACATTCATCACAAACAAATTCTTCTTCAAATTCGTCATAGAAATCATCTTCGTTGTCATCATCATCATTATCATAACCATCATCAGAGTGGTCAAATCTTCCAAAATCATCAAAACCCATTCTAAACAAAAGTTTGAGTTTTTCCAGGATATTGTAATCTTTAGAGAATCCATATTCCTTAAGGTTTTCTGTTTCCAGAATTTCTAAACTGGTTATCGCTTCTACCACATTTCCCCAATTCATGCCAGTGTTTGCTAGGTTGGCAATGCCATCCAGAACCCCCGATTTTGATGCAATGAGCAGTTGCTTAGGATCTGATCTACTACATATGTAGGCTCTGGTGATATTGTTCGCACGATAAACCAGCGATGATTGGATGTAGTTTGAAATCAGTTTCGTCATGTTTGTGTCGAATGAATGTCTGAGTTCTGATTCCAAGGCAGTCACGGTTTCACTGTCAATACAATGTTTTGTGCCATCCAAGTCTTCTTCCAATCCATAAACTGCTCTTTTAACCATTCCTTCAATAACGTATTTCAATGTTGATATGCATGTATTTCGAAGTCTTCTCCCTAAAGAAGTCCTACATTTGTGTGGCGGAAGGTAAAGCAAAGAATCATTCTCTATCCAGACCACTTTTGATTGAAGTATGGCAGTTTGAACCCTCATTCCAGCAAAGAAAAGCAAAGACTGATCAATATCTTTAAACAAGTTGTTGTTAGGAAGAATATAATGTGGACAGATCTGTGAGAACAGATTGCACTGTAATCTCTGAAGAAGCCCTATAACTCTTGTAACCATTAATTGCTCTGTCCAGTCTCTCACAGGGACCTGCTCGCATTCCCACAGGAATACGATTTTCAGATGGTATGATTGCAGTGCCTTACCGATTGGTGGGCAAAGAAATTGTCTCCAGATTGCTTTAAATAGCAGGTAACACATCCTCTGTGTTTCTGTAAGACTAAGCATTAGTTCTCGTTCAATCAAACAGAAGGATAGTCTCCATTCAAGGAAAGTTTTGGAATCTTTGGGGTATTTTGGTACGATGAGGCAACCCATGGAAATAAGTTGTTCTACAAAATTTGAAGAAGGAAACCCTGAAATTCTTTTCCTGTTTTGGAACTCGTTTGCTACAGAAGGCCAAGTTGAACAAATTATAGCTGGCGAACAATCGTATTGCAATGAAATATCACTTTCAGTAATCAATAAAGTTGTTTTGACCGCAGGCCCTTCCTGGTTAACTATGTAAAATACAAAGGGATCCGAACTCTTGTCCACTTTTTCCTCTTCATCAGATTCATCAGTTTCCATTTTAGCATCTACGAGTTTGTCCGAGTTCTTGCAGTAGCCTGAATACTGAAAGTTTTCTACACTACATCTTAGACAAAGCATCATAAAGAACTCGTCTGTGAAGGCCTCTGGAGACAGATAAAACTCGTTAATGGATCCGTCTTCACTGGACACAATGTTACAAAGTCCACACCAGTTCTCGCTTTCATCTTTCAGATGAACTTTCAGTTGAACGAACCCTGGATTCTCCTTGCAGAATTCGATCTCTAACCACGTCTTGTCAGCGTTTGGTTGCTTTGATTCTATGGCAGTAATAGTCCTCAAAATGGCGGTGAGGTCAAGTTCTTCATTCTTATTGCCCTCGGAAACTTCACTAATGGAGAGTCCTTCACTCGTGCTTCCTATGAATTCCAAGTCTAATTTAGAAAAACAAGGATGAACTTGCACCTGAAATGGAAGATCATAAAACATCCATCCTTCTGGGGTTGTCACAGCCTTTCTTATTCGCTCTTTCAGATTCTTGAATTCTGCTGGTGGAACTGCGAGCTCCCTTAATTTTCTTAAAAGTTCATCATTTACCCTTGAATTAGTTGTTTTCTGAAAGTATTTTGTGGTTGCTGCACTACAGTATCGGATATCCATTTCTAACCTGTGTAACAGTTAAAAAAGAAACAAGTTTGTTGATCTATTTTCGCTTTCACGTAATGTAAATTTCAAAATACATTGTAGATGTGTCTAATCTATTGAGTAAAAATATTCCTTTGTCTCTTTTAATTTAAAAAATATAGATTTTATTCTATCCATCCATTTAGCAGGTATGAATATTAATTACCATAACAATTACCTTCCTATGGTAGCGTAATACAAATCCGGACTGTTACCATTAGGTCAGTACATAGATATGCTCAGAGTTATTCCTCTTTTCAATAGTTTTTAGAGTGCATATCATCTGAATTGAACTGAATAATGTGGATCCTGAAAATGTATACTTCTATATAGGGAAGATTATCAAATATTTAAGAAATTTATGGTGGGATTATGTATAAAAAAATGATCGAATCAAAAAACTTTGCTTTGCATATATAGGAAAACATTACCAAACATATAGCATTTTATGCTTATTAATTTCAAATTTCATAAAACTCCTGGAAAATCGTTGAATTTCTGAAAAAGATATTTTTCATTTTATGTATCGATTTTTTTTACGTTAATACTTTGTAGTCCTAGTACTCCATGGGGCAGCCTGCGGAAGTATTGTAAAAAAAAAAATTAAAACATTTAATTCTTTACTTGTTTAAGATACTAAGTATTCTTTATATTGCCTTTATTGGTCTTGGACTGTAAAGTTTACTTATTTCTTGTTGAGCGGATTTGTTGACATGTTAATGTTAACATGACATATTCATCAGATATCGACGTGTTAAAGAATTTCTGAGACAAATAATGTGACAATTTCGTTAATAAAATAAGCTTTTTGGAGAGCACTATGAAGTAGCTGGTTGCATAAGGGTCTGTATTTTATAAGTTAAAAATGAAGGAAATTTTAAACAAGATTCGGTAAAGCAAACTTACGCAAGAAATACTCTACTCTAAAATGTAAACTTATAAATATTCCAAAATCAAAACAGAAAATCTTTTTTTCTGTTTTAAGCATTTTGCCCTTAGGTATTGACAAAACTCAACAAATAACACAGTTTACAAGATTTTATTGGTGTGAATATCAAAAGTTTAATGAACGAAAGCCATCGTTCACATAGCTAGATTTTACGGAGTAAATTTCCTCCCAAAACTATCACTGAAACAGGTTTCACTACCACATTACAATTTGAAAAAGGCAAAAATCTACAGGGTAAATTTCCTCTCAAAAATGACACTGATACAGTTAACATACAGTAGTCAATTCAAAAGCGACTTGATATAACAAGATTTCACGGAGTAAATTTCCTCCGAAAGAATATCACTGATACAGTATTCATTACAACAATTACAATTTAGAAATAGCAAAAATCTACAGTGTAAATTTCCTCTCTAAATTCACATTGGTGCATTGTACATTCAGTATTTCAAAGCCAAAGCAACCATTGTTTACATAGCTAGATTTTACGGAGTAAATTTCCTCCCAAAGAGGAATCACGGAAACAGTATTGTTGTTATCCTCACAGTATGTTCCACTTGCCGGATTTCCAGTAGTGACCCAGTACCTTATGAGCTGTCCGCCGGATCTGGGCGTCGCTGTCTCTGTTAAACAGTTCCAGGGACTCGGCTACCTGTGTCTCCAGGTGAGTCGGGGATCCGTCACAGAGAGTGTGGAGCACCTGTCTCCTGACCAGGGGGTCAGCATCATCTACCATCTCCAGCACCCGGGCCCAGAAGTCACTCAAGTCCTTTTTAACCCTACAGGGGCACATTTCTACCAGAGCTGTCCTCCTTACACGTGCATTTTCGTGTTTTGTTAGTTCTATTATAACATCAATATCAGTAGTTTCTTTGCATAACCGCACAGCCGTGTTGACTGGAAGTTCACTCGGGGACGGTCTATTCTCCATTTTTTCTTGAGATTTTCTACATAAAGTTAATATTATACCTAGTGAATTTTATACGGCTACATTGCCGATACTAAAATAATTTTCACCTCTGCTTTTATAATAACCCGTATTATTTCTCAATAGACTGAAATATTGTGTCCAACGGCTGTGCAATAAACCAGCGAGTTCTATAATATCAATTAGAGTTATCCCTCCTTGACCTTTACTCTAACTGTATGGTAAACGTACATTGGTGTTTTTTTTTTAGGCTGAACAATCAATTACGACAAGTATATCTTAAATAGATTCCAATTAAAGTAGATTACATATTTTAACTCTTACAATAAACACTGTCGAGAAAATAATTTTAATTGTAAAAGAAGACATTTCGATTGAAGCTAATGCGTTTATTATATTTTAAAAGTTAGTATTAATACGTTTACAGTTTCTTGCGTACGTTTCCTTTATCCAATCTTGTTTAACATTTCCTTCTTTTTAAATTTTTAAAATACAGACCCTCATGCAAAACGGTACATTGTATTACCAAACAATAAAATAAAATAAAACTAATTTTGATAACTTATTTGTCTAAAAAATTCTATAACACGCTGACATCTGAAAATGAATGCTGAGTAATTGTTTTGTTTTGTGCAGATTTATGCTGCAAGAAAAAATACAGGGTTACAAATCACAGCTGCAAGAGATGCATTATATTTAGAAACAGGACGGGAACCTATTACAGATAGGCGTAAAGTAGCAAAACTAAATACTATGTTTAAAGTACATCACATCTTGGTACCCGATTATTTAAAAAGTATTTTCCCCTCAACATGAAGCACTGAATCAAATTATTATGACACGCGCAATACAGAGGACTACACAATCCTTAGATGTAGACTTGAAATATTTAAGAAATCTTTTGTTGCTGATACAATAAACCAATGGAATAGTTTGAATATCATCACTAAAATAGTTTTAAAAAGAACATAGCAGACCCCCCCTTCTTATTTCTCCCATGATAATTATGATCTTTATAAAAGAAACATTATCGAAAGTCCTTATTGTTCATGTCATACACCTAAAGACCCATATCATTTTTTCTTTTGTTTGTAATCAGTATTAAATACTAGTATTGAATTAAATATTATTGATTGTTATTTACTTTTGTGGGGAGATGAGTCACGAAATGTAGAAATGAATAAGTATATTTTTCAATCAGTTCAAAAATTTATAAGAGATTCTAGTAGATTTAATTAATTATTACAGCCTAACACTTAAACTCTAGAAAGTCATATATTTATCATGTGTAAAAATGTATGTTTTAAACAAACACGTTTGTACATCAATGGTTTTTTTTTTTTTTTTAAATTTTCTTCCTATGTTTAGATATGGACAGTTCATGGAAACGGATCATCGGAAGTGTAATAAGCAATGATATAGCTCAGAATATATTAAAATAAAGTTTCTAACATGTAAAGAGAAAATGTTAATGGACACACGCAGTACATGATATATATACTATAGTACAAAGGAATAAAGTTGCTTTGTAACATGTAAGAAAACGGGGCCTTTTAATGCAATTGATATTTGATCTTCTACAAATATATATATATACAGATAAAATGAATACGAATACAATAGATGTTGATAAAATAACTTTGTGAATGCTTTTGGTTTGATAAAGTTAAAGATGGTCAAAAATGTAACATATGTTTTGATCACCCTGCATACCTCAGAAAAAAAATCAATATATATACTCGTGATATGACAAATATTAAGGAAATTCAGGAGAAGGGGGGTCATGTATAAAAAGATGACTGAATAAAACAACTTTGCTCTGCATATGTCGGAAAATATCGCCAATCATATAACAGTCATGATCATTAATTTCAAATTTCATAACACTCCTGGAAAAAAAAAGTTTTTATCATTATGTGAATCAATTTTGTTGGACATTTAATACTTTTTATATCCTGGTATGTCATAGAGCAGCTTGTGGAATTATTGTATAAAAAATCTTAAAACATTTATGTCTAAAATTGTTTAAGATATTCTTTATATAGCCTTTTCTGCCTTGGGCTGTAAAGTTTACTAATTTATTGTTGAATGAATATGACATGCTAACAAAACAATCGGGTTGAACATATTTTATTGTATAAATGATATACAAATGGTTTGAACACAAGTTCTAACATCTTACGAGGTTCTCACCATAAAATGCTGCAACTGTCCATGTTTATACATAGAAAGAAAAAGAAAAACATGTTTGTTTAAATCATATATATTTTTTTTACATACGATAAATATATAACTATATAACTATCTAGATTTTAAGTGTTAGACAGTAATAATTAATTAAATCTACAAGAATTTTTTTTATAAATTTTTGTACTGATCGAAAAATATATTTATTGATTTCTACATCTATAGTTTCTCTCTGGCATGTTGGCACTTATTGCAAACAAAATAATTCTGGTGTACCACATGAACAATAAGGATTTTCGATAATGTTTTTTTTTTATAAAGATCATAATTTAAAATGCAGTTGTGTTGTAGTTTAGTTTGTATGATTTTAAGTCGTCTATTACATGGGAGAAATAAGAAGGGGGGTCTTCTGGGTTTTTATGTATGTTGTTTTTAAAGCTACTAAAAGACTACTGAGTTGTTTCTTGTGATAATACTCAAACTATTCCATTGGTTTATTGTATCAGGGACAAAATATGTCTTAAATATTTCAAGTCTACATCTAGGGATAGTGTAGTCCTCTCTATTGCGCGTATCTTACTCTGATTTAGTACTTCTTGTTGAGGAAAGAATACTTTTTAAATAATCAGGTACCACGTTGTGATGTACTTTAAACGTAGTATTTAGTTTTGCTATTGTGACATTGTGACGTCACAAACAAGGAGCAAAACTTTATTCTGCAAGAGGTTCCCATCCTGTTTCTAAATATAATGCATCTCTAGCAGCGGTGATTTATAACCCTGTAATCATGCTCGCAGCATGAAGCTGCACAAAACAAAAAAAAAACAAAAAAAAAAACAAACAAACAAACAAACAAACAAACAAACAAACAAAAAAACTGAGTATTCATTTTCAGATGTCGGCGTGTTAAAGAATTTACGAGATAAATAATGTGACAATTTTGTTTCAAAAAAGGTTTTACTATTCTTTTTTTTTTTTTTTTTTGATCAAACGATATACCTTTTTGCATGATGGTTTGTATTTTATAAATTAAAAATGAAGAAATGTTAAATAAGATTCGATAAAGCAAACATTTTCAAATAACTTCTACTAGAAACTGTAAACGTATAAATACTAACTATTTAATATAATAAATGCATTAGATTCTATACAAGAAACTGTAAACGTATAAATACTAACTGTTTAATATAATAAATGCATTAGATTCTATAGAGATGTCTTCTTTTACATATATATATTTCTATTATTATCTCTTCATAGTGTGACGAAAAGAATGAAGATCGCGTACTGTGATCAATCTCCAAAATAATTTACAAATAAAGCAAATCTGATAACAGGTCATAAAATAGGGACTTCCAGAATAGGGATCAGATGACTAGGGGTAGAAAGCGTCTTTTGTTGCCCGTTCACAATGTACTAGTATTTAAAAAAGACCGTAGCTTACAATTAGTTTTGACTACGCCAGCTAAAAAAGATCCAATAACAGGTTATATACCGATATGTAAACAAGGTCTTTAAAACAACCATAAAATTTACGATTTGTTAAACGAGGTTTATAAATACATGTAACATCAACTCATCTGTCTTCATCCTGATTGTAAGTGGCATATAGTAATAATTCAGCCACGTCTTTCCACTGTCTCGTAAAATAAATTAAGATTGCGATAGAAATGGTCTTTTATTGTAACAAGTTGTAAAAAATAATATATTTAACAAATAACAGACATACAACATTCATGAAAAGTAAACCCGTGCACATGCAGTCCTGATCACATAAAGTTCGAACTGAAATTATCGCAAACTTTTAACATTAAAAGTAAGTAACATTAAAAGTAAGTTATCTACACCATTATATATGTCTGTATCTTTGAAGTAGGTGTAAAAATTCACAGTACAATATTTCCATTTCTTGCCATTGTCCATCTCGCTTGATGCAAACCAGCTACTTTAGAACAAATCATTTCTAACGTCTTGTCGCTTGTTATCCTCACAGTATGTTCCACTTGCCGGATTTCCAGTAGTGACCCAGCACCTTATGAGCTGTCCGCCGGATCTGGGCGTCACTGTCTCTGTTGAACAGTTCCAGGGACTCGGCTACCTGTGTCTCCAGGTGAGCCGGGGACCCGTCACAGAGAGTGTGGAGCACCTGTTTCCTGACCAGGGGGTCAGCATCGTCTACCATCTCCAGCACCCGGGCCCAGAAGTCACTCAGGTCCTTTTTAACCCTACAGGGACACATTTCTACCAGAGCTGTCCTCCTTACACGTGCATTTTCGTGTTTTGTTAGTTCTATTATAACATCAATATCAGTAGTTTCTTTGCATAACCGCACAGCAGTGTTGACTGGAAGTTCACTCGGGGACGGTCTATTTTCCATTTTTTCTTGAGATTTTCTACATAAAGTTAATATTATACCTAGTGAATTTTATACGGCTACATTGCCGATACTAAAATAATTTTCACCTCTGCTTTTATAATAACCCGTATTATTTCTCAATAGAGTGAAAGATTGTGTCCAACGGTTGTGCAATAAAACAACGAGTTCTACAATATCAATTAGAGTTATCCCTCCTTGACCTTTACTCTAACTGTATGGTAAACGTACATTGGTGTTTTTTTTTTTAGGCTGAACAATCAATTACGACAGGTATATCTTAAATAGATTCCAGTTAAAGTAGATTACATATCTTAACTCTTACAATAAACATTGTTGAGATGATAATTTTAATTGTAAAAGAAGACATCTCGATCTAAGCTAATGCGTTGATTATATTTTAAAAGTTAGTATTAATACGTTTACAGTTTCTTGCGTACGTTTCCTTTATCCAATCTTGTTTAACATTTCCTTCTTTTTTTAATTTTTAAAATACAGACCCTCATGCAAAAAGGTACATTGTATTACCAAACAATAAAATAAAATAAAACTAATTTTGATAACTTATTTGTCTCAAAAATTCTATAACACGCTGATATCTGAAAATGAATGCTGAGTAATTGTTTTGTGCAGATTTATGCTGCAAGAAAAAATACAGGGTTACAAATCAATATGATTTCTTTCGTTTGAGGAACGAATTAGACAGAAATCAATTTCTACTTGGTGTGATAATGAATTACTTTTTCGGAATTACAAGGTTTTCATTCGAATACCTGGTGTATATCACGTGGTTCTTTAGAACCGATCTCGTTAGCAAGGCTATATAAGAGGTGAATAGTGGTTTAAATACCAGTTTAGGAGGACACGTAGAGCACGATAAAGTTTAAATCTCAGATGCAGAACGAAGTGGCGTAGGGCGTGGTTCATCGACATGTTTAGCCATTGTAGATGATATGAAATCACAGAAAATAGAGTTGGAGAGAGATTTGACAGTGTGGAAAACGAGGTCATCAAAGAAAAGCCATCTTAGATCTTGTTTTTATAAGATAAGTATTCATTTGAGAATACAATTGATCAGTTTTTGAATAAGTAGTAAATTAGCGATAACAAGGTTTGTAATAGAGAGAATTTGAAAACAAATACATGATTGTATTAAATTATGAGATTCGTTAATTCTCGTCAGTATATGATAATAGAAGTTATTTCCAGAAATAGATAATTTGTTTTGTAGAAAGATGGATTTGTTAAAGGAAGAAAACTGGTGTTTCTGAAAAGGAAAACAAATACTTTACGATAATTTTCTTTTATTTTTCAATTAATACAAGTATAGAATTTATAAGATATTATATTTGCATTTATATTCAATTAAATATATTTGCTTATCATTTTAAAACGTCCTAAATGCATCAGCATTATAACATGGACATTTCCTGAGTATAGAAAATATCGATAAATTAAAATTGTTTGAATTTATTTTTCAATTTCAGTTTCTTGCCATTTTGTCAAATGTGCTACTAAAATAAAAAGTTTTAGATATATTGAAGAGAAAACAGTATATTCTTATGTTTCAGGTAGTTACATGTTGGGGTTGGTATCACGATGAGTATAATGAAGAATGTGATTTTAAGATCTCCAGAGAAGTATGGTAGATTTTTTTTCTTTGCGTTTTATGCCAGTTGAAAGTTAAATTCAATGCAGACTCCATCACAATGGAAAAGAGAAGCATTTCATATTCTGAACTTTGAGTATAATAATTCGTTTTTCGATTTATTTTAGTAGATTATTCAATCATGAATCTATATAGTAGAGTATGGGGCATAGATATTTTTTGTTTGGTATCTTTTAACCAAGTATATGTATTAATGACATATAAACTTTATAGAAGAAAACGAGTTCTACTTGTCTTGTGATTAATGATGTACAGGTACGGCTTTGCGTAAGAGAATTAAAGGTTTAGAATATTTGCATTTTGATTTTCATTGTAGTTAAACTAAGGTCTCATTTGAATTATCTACTTAAAATTGAAATTTATCAATTGAGTATTAATCTAAAAAAAAAAAAAAAAAAAAAAAAAAAAGTAAATAAGATCAAGATGGTATAAAATATTTAAATGAATGATAATTCTGCAATATTTGCGGTGTTGTTAATTGGCTTGGTTGAGTTATCTAGAAAAAGAGATTTAAGTATTTAGTTTCAATACTAAAAAGTTTTGATAACAGAAACTGAATTTTTGTCGGTTTTGATTTTCGAGTAAAAAGGAAATTTTGTCAATGTATTCTAATTTTAAAAATGATTCACCGAAATTGAATTCAACTTTTTCTGAATATTAATTTCATGAGCTGTTTTGCACAATTTTCGTGTTTGGTAGTGTTTGGAAGATTTGAATTTTGATAACGTTGATATATTTCATTTTATAATGAAATGATTTAATGAATGTTTATTAATTGGCAACAATTTTTGGAGTATTTACTTTTATTGAAATTAGTTTTCAGTGGAAAGTGATTTTTATAATACTGTAGCTATTTAAAAGCTGTTATTTTTGAATTTAAAACAAAATAGAATTTGAGCGGAATTCCAACTCTAACCCAGCTTAACATAAAATATTTTATGGATGTTTATCATAACGCATCTGTGGTGTTTGGTTTTTGGCGGGATTGATTTTAGTAGACAATGAGAAGTACAGAAATAGTCAAATGAAAATTAATATTTCTGTTTGAAATAATATTGAGTTGGGTTTGAATTTGAATAACTTTGGCACAATTTAGCATATCATGCTTTTATGAATGTTTTCCAACCACTTATATGGTATTGTCATTTGGCAATTTATTAAAGATTCTTTTCATTATATTGCTGATAATATGAAATAGAAATTGATTGGATTCGAATGCTTTGCACATTTTATCATAAAATGATTTTATAGATGTTTATCCAACTACATTTGTGGTGTTGCCATTTGGCGAGTTGGTTAAAGTAGAAAGTGGGTTCTTTATCATATGAGTTTGAATTTATGGATTTTGTCCAACTACATTTGTGATGAAGCCATTTAGTAAGATTGGTTTCTGTAGATAGTGCACGTGTTTCTTGGTATATATTAAAGTAAAAGTTTATAATTTTCATGAAATCAAAGGAAAATTTGATTGGAACTTGAAATATTTTGATAAATTTATCACATAGTATGAATTTATGGATGTTTTTTGAATCGTTTTGTGGTGATGCCATTTGGCGAGTTGGTTAAAGTAGAAAGTATTTCTACATATAAAGTACAGTAAAAGTTGATTAATCTGATGAAAATAAAGTAAAATTTGATTGAAATTTGAACTTTTTGATAAATTATATCATAAAATGAATGTATGGATTTAGTTTAAACCATATTTTATTTGAACATGACAAGCAAGAAGTACAGGCAAGAAGTACAAAGATCAAAAAGGATTCGCAAACAAGTTTCAAAAACTTATACTAATCCGTTTCCTAATTATTAATGATAAAGATGACAGACCCTTATTAGATAGTTACATAACACATATATAGTGATATGGGTCTATAATTAGAAACATTGTTTCTGTCCCCTTTCTTATATATAGGGGTAACGTTTGCTCTTTTCCATTCCATTGGGAATACTGCTTTTTTAAGAGACATGTTGAAGAGTTTACATAATGGAAATTTTAGTATAGAATTGGTATATGGATTTGTATCCAACCACATTTGTGGTGATGCCATTTGGCGAGATTTGTTTGTGTAGAAAGTATTGCTACATAAGTAGTAAAAGTAAAGGTTGATAATTCTGATGTAAATAAAGTAAAATTTGATTGGAATTTGAACTTTTTGATAAATTATATCATAAATGAATGTATGGATTTGTATCCAACCACATTTGTGGTGATGCCATTTGGCGAGATTTGTTTGTGTAGAAAGTATTGCTACATAAGTAGTTAAAGTAAAGGTTGATAATTCTGATGAAAATAAAGTAAAATTTGATTGGAATTTGAACTTTTTGATAAATTATATCATATTAGAATGTTTTTCATTTTTTCCAACCACATTTGTGGTGATGCCATTTGGCGAGATTTGTTTGTGTAGAAAGTATTTCTACAGAAGTAGTAAAAGTAAAACTTGATAATTCTGATGAAAATAAAGTAAAATTTGATTGGAATTTGAACTTTTTGATAAATTATATCATAAAATGATTTTATGGATGTTTATCCAACCACATTTGTTTTGATGCCATTTGGCGAGATTGTTTTCAGTAGGAAGTATTTCTACAAATAGTAAAGTAAATGTTGATTATTCTGATGAAAATAAGGTTATCATAACTTGATTATCAAATGGATGTTTATATAAACACATTCATATTTTTCTTAATTAAAAAAAAAAAAAAAATGATTAGTGCAATTCATAAATTTTGAACTTAATGGTGGAATTTTGATTCATTTTATCATTTAATGATAGTATGCATGTTTTGCTAGCCACAATGATGATGATTTTGATTTTTTTAATAGATTAAGAGAGAGAGAAAAAGAGATCCTATACATATTTACTAAAATATCAGAGTTACAAGATATATGTATCTATCAGTTTTCTAACATAAAATTTGTTCTTCCAGGTATTATTGGTTATATTCTTCTTACGTTTAATTCAAGCACCATGAGGTATTAATCGGTGTACCAATAATGACAGAGTTTCAAAGAGGCACATATCCAAGGAATTGAGATGGGATTCAAGATATTTCACAGGAATGTGTATTTTGTGCTATTTTGATATTGGATGCTGAATATACTTCTATGTATAACTGTGTCGAATTCATTTGATATATTTGAGGTCTTCTTCCCTGGGACTTCACGATAAATCGTATGGTATGCGTTGAATTTGATTTGAAACTATACTCAAAACTCAAGTGCAGCAAGCATTTATCGATGTATGGATAGGATGTGTGCATAACATCAAGACTTTTAAAATCAGACTCACATGGTGAATTGCGTTATGGATTTTCAAAAGACGGCGGTGTATTGAATTTGTTTAGGATGGATATACATGTATATGTATTTTTTTTTGGTGATTATTTAATTGTTTTCAAAACATTTTATTGGAAAATTTCCGTAAAATTTTATGTATTTATTGTTTGAAATATTGAATGATTTATGATTTAAATGAATTTTGTTGGATTTAATTTAAAATCAATGATTTTATACTTTCATTTTCCCGTTCTTTGTATTTAGAGCTACTGCGTGTCGTTGCTATGTCCAAATGGTGTGTTTGTTGTTTATTGTACTTTCATTTGAAAGTAATGAATGGATTTAGAGTAGAAATATGATTTCTTTCGTTTGAGGAACGAATTAGACAGAAATCAATTTCTACTTGGTGTGATAATGAATTACTTTTTCGGAATTACAAGGTTTTCATTCGAATACCTGGTGTATATCACGTGGTTCTTTAGAACCGATCTCGTTAGCAAGGCTATATAAGAGGTGAATAGTGGTTTAAATACCAGTTTAGGACGACACGTAGAGCACGATAAAGTTTAAATTTTATCATGATTTATTCAATCCAACATAAACTTGTATATACAAATTGATTTTCATATTTTGCATATGTTATGTACACTGCGCAAATAAAGCTACTGCGTGTCGTTGCTATGTCCAAATGGTGTGTTTGTTGTTTATTGTACTTTCATTTGAAAGTAATGAATGGATTTAGAGTAGAACAGCTGCAAGAGATGCATTATATTAAGAAACAGGATGGGAACCTATTACAGATAGGCGTAAAGTAACAAAACTAAATACTATGTTTAAAGTACATCACATCTTGGTACCCGATTATTTAAAAAGTATTTTCCCCTCAACATGAAGCACTGAATCAAATTATTATGACACGCGCAATAGAGAGGACTACACTATCCCTAGATGTAGACTTGAAATATTTCAGAATTTTTTTGTTCCTGATACAATAAACCAATGGAATAGTTTGAATATTACCACTAAAATAGTTTTAAAAAGAACATAGCAGACCCCCATATTTCTCCCATGATAATTATGATCTTTATAAAAGAAACATTATCGAAAGTCCTTATTGTTCATGTCATACAACTGAAGACCCATATCATTTTATCTTTGTTTGTAATAAGTATTAAATACTAGTATTGAATTAAATATTATTATCACGAAATGTAGAAATCAATAAATATATTTTACAATCAGTTCAAAAATTTATAAGAGATTCTAGTAGATTTAATTAATTATTGCAGCTTAAAACTTAAACTCTATAAAGTTATATATTTATCATGTGTAAAAATGTATGTTTTAAACAAACATGTTTGTACATCAATGGTTTAAAAAAAAAAAAATTCCTATGTTTAGATATGGACAGTTAATGGAAACGGATCATCGGAAGTGTAATAAGCAATGATATAGCTCAGAATATATTAAAATAAAGTTTTTAACATGTAAAGAGAAAATGTCAATGGGCACACGTAGTACATGATATATATACTATAGTACAAAGGAATAAAGTTGCTTTGTAACATGTAAGAAGACGGGGCCTTTTAATGAAATTGATATTTGATCTTCTACAAATATATATACAGATAAAATGAATACGAATACAATAGATGTTGATAAAATAACTTTGTGAATGCTTTTGGTTTGATAAAATTAAAGATGGTCAAAAATGTAACATATGTTTTGACCACCCTGCATACCTCAGAAAAAAATCAATATACTCGTGATATGACAAATATTAAGGAAATTCAGGTGGGGGGGGGGGTTCATGTATAAAAAGATGACTGAATAAAACAATTTTGCTTTGCATATGTCGAAAAATATTGCCAAATATATAACAATCATGCTTATTAATTTCAAATTTCATAAAACTCCTGGAAAAAAAAAACTTTTTGTCACTATGTGTATCAATTTTGTTCGACATTTAATACTTTTTATATCCTGGTATGTCATAGAGCAGCTTGTGGAATTATTGTATAAAAAATCTTAAAACATTTATGTCTAATATTGTTTAAGATATTCTTTATTTAGCCTTTTCGACTTTGGACTGTAAAGTTTACTAATTTATTGTTGAACGAATTTGACATGTGAACAAAACAATCGGTTTGAACATATTTTATTGTATAAATACTATACAAATGATTTGAACACAAGTTCTAACAACTTACGAGGTTCTCACTATAAAATGCTGCAACTGTCCATGTTTATACATAGGAAGAAAAAGAAAAACATGTTTGTTTAAATCATATATTTTTTAAACACACGATAAATATATAACTATATAACTATAGAGTTTAAGTGTTAGGCTGTAATAATTAATTAAATCTAGCAAAATCTCTTATAAATTTTTGTACTGATCGAAAAATATATTTATTGATTTTTAGCATGTTGGTACTTATTGCAAACAAACAAATTCTTGTGTAACACATGAACAATAAGGATTTTTGATAATGTTTTTTTTTTGGGGGGGGGGGGTCTGCTGGGTTTTTATGTATGTTGTTTTTAAAGCTACTAAAAGATGAGTTGTTTCTTTTGGTAATACTCAAACTATTCCATTGGAACAAAATATGTCTTAAATAACTTAAGTCTACATCTAGGAATAGTGTAGTCCTCTCCATTGTGTGTGTCATAATTTGATTCAGTGCTTCATGTTGAGGGGGAAATACTTTTTTTATAATCGGGTACCAAGATGTGATGTACGTTAAACATAGTATTTTGCTTTGCTACTTTATGCCTATCTGTAAGAGGCTCCCATCCTGTTTCTAAATATAATGCATCTCTTGCAGCGGTGATTTGTAACCCTGTAATTATGGTCGCAGCATAAATCTGCACAAAATAAAACAATAACTGAGTATTCATTTTCAGATGTCGGCGTGTTAAAGAATTTCCAAGATAAATAATGTGATAATTTTGTTATCATGCAAAAAAGTATTACTGTATTCTTTTTTTTTTTTTGGTCAAACGATATACCTTTTTTGCATGAGGGTCTGTATTTTATAAATTAAAAATGAAGAAAATGTTAAATAAGATTCGATAAAGCAAACATTTGCAAGAAACTTCTACTAGAAACTGTAAACGTATAAATACTAACTGTTTTATATAATAAATGCATTAGATTCTATAGAGATGTCTTCTTTTACAAACATATTTCTATTACTGTATACAGGGTTATTTTCGCCCCGTGTTATTTCCGCCCTTTTGTACTTGCGAACAATTTTGCCCCGTTTTAAATTCGCCCAGTCATAGTTTTGTTTAAGAAATCATGCTGTGTAATTAGAATTCGCACCGTTTTAAATTCGCCCAATCAGGAAGAGGGCGATAGGGGCGAAAATAAAACGGGGGCGAAAATTTCCCTGTATACAGTATTATCTCTTCAAGATCGCGTACTGTGATCAATCTCCAAAGTAATTTACAACTAAAACAAATCTGTTAACAGATCATAAAATAGGGACTTCCAGAATAGGGATGCCTAGGGGTAGAAAGCGTCTTTTGTTGCCCGTTCACAATGTACTAGTATTTAAAAAAGACAATTAGTTTTGACTACGCCAGCTAAAACAACATCCAATAACAGGTTATATTTGTAAATAAGGTCTTTAAAACAACCATAAAATTTACGATTTGTTAAACGAGGTTTATAAATACATGTAACATCAACTTATCTGTCTTTATCCTGGTTGTAAGTGGCATATAGTAATACTGCGAAATCACAATATTTCGTTGGGGTTTAATTTTCGTGGTTTTCGTGGTGTGAAGAGACCCACGAATTCATGTCCAACACGAAATGTAAAATGTGACATACATTACTACTCAACAATTCTACAACAACAAAATCAAATCCCCACGAACCAAGAGTTTTTTCTTCAAACCACGAAAATTTGACACCACGAAAATATGTGATTTTACAGTAATTCAGCCAAGTCTTTCCATCGTCTCGTAAAATAAATTAAAATTGCGATATAAATGGTCTTTTATTATAACAAGTTGTAAAAAATAATATACATGTATTTAAAAAATAACAGACATACAACATTCATGAAAAGTAAACCCGTGTACATGCAGTCCTGATCACATAAAGTTCTAATTGAAATTATAGCAAACTTTTAACATTAAAAGTAAGTAAATTTAAAAGTAAGTTATCTACACAATTATATATGACTCTTTCTTCGGAGTAGGTGTAAAAATTCACGGTACAATATTTTCCATTTCTTGCCATTGTCCATCTCGCTTGATGCAAACCCTACTTTAAACAATCATTTCTGACGCCTTGTCGCTTGCTATCCTCACCGTATGTTCCACTTGCCGGATTTCCAGTAGTGTCCCAGGACCTTATGGGCTGTCCGCCGGATCACAGTATGTTCCACTTGCCGGATTTCCAGTAGTGTCCCAGGACCTTATGGGCTGTCCGCCGGATCACAGTATGTTCCACTTGCCGGATTTCCAGTAGTGACCCAGGACCTTATGAGCTGTCCGCCGGATCTGGGCGTCGCTGTCCCTGTTAAACAGTTCCAGGGACTCGGCTACCTGTGTCTCCAGGTGAGCCGGGGATCCGTCACAGAGAGTGTGGAGCACCTGTCTCCTGACCTGGGGGTCAGCATCGTCTACCATCTCCAGCACCCGCGCCCAAAAGTCACTCAAGTCCTTTTTAACCCTGCAGGGACACATTTCTACCAGAGCTGTCCTCCTTACACGTGCATTTTCGTGTTTTGTTAGTTCGATTATGACGTCAATATCGGTAGTTTCTTTGCATAATCGCACAGCAGTGTTGACTGGAAGTTCACTCGGAGGCGGCCTGTTTTCCATTTTTTCTTGAGATTTTCTACACAAAGTTAAGTATAATACTTTGTAATTTTTTACGGCTACATTGCCGATACTAAAATAAGTCTTTTCTCCTCTGCTTTTATAATCATCCAGGTTGTTATTTCTCAACAGAGTGAAAGCTTATGTCCAACGGTTGTGCAATAACAGCGTGTTCCTCAAAAATCAATTAGAGTTATCCCTCTTTGACTTTGCTGCAACAGATTATGTATGGCACGCCATATTTGCAAAAATGAGCTAAACATAGTTTCACAGTTGATAAACTAGGTTTATCGACTGCAAACTATAGTTTAATATATGTATAATCCATGTTTTTATCTCAAATGATTGTTTTCAGTGTTAAGTATAGTTTACGGTTCTGAAACATAGATTATCGCGTTAACTATGGTTTACAGATGTAAAACATAGATTAACGTTGTTAACTGTATATAGTTTACAATCCATAAACTATAGTTTACAACCGAAAAACCTAGTTTATCGACTGTGAAACTATTTTTAGGTCATTTCTGTGAATTTGGCCTGCCATAGATATGAATTATTGGTGTTCGTATTTCTTTAAAAGAATATTCAATCAATTAACACTGGTAAAACTTTACGCATATTGCAACTAAAGCGGACTGTTCTTTTTTTAAACTGATTTGTTTTTAATATATTTTGTTATGTTATAGATACATAAATGGATAAAAATAAAATGAAATATGTGGAGATAACGAACAGTTAAACAAATCAACTTTATCATGATCATATCTTCATCGACAAAATGTTTACCACATTATTATCACAGCAAAATACAGACATTATTTGATAAAGCCAATTCTTAATCCGTGTCTAGATTTTCGAGCTCAAAAGTCCATTTTTTTAAACATTTCAAAACAGGATTAGAGCAAACACGGAACTCTAAAACATCAGATATGGGATCAGGAGCCATGGAGGAATGAGTATTCCCTGCCGACCGGTCACACCCGCCGTGTTCATGGCATGTTCTGAAGGGCGATGGAAACATCTGCGGACAACTCAGTGTGTAAATGGCCTAAAAGCAATGCTTATTATAGTTAACAATATAAGGTCCAATTTAACGTGTCATGATGAAGATATTAAATACATGTTTGAAAAAAATCCATATAACTGCAATAAACAAAGTAACTTTATTATTTTTTGGAAGGTAAACTGGCATTAAATCAGATCATTAAAAAAAATGTATCAGATCGATCCAGTTTTATGCAGAAAAGGTTTAGAGCGAAATGATTTTCTTTCCATTTTAAAATTATTCAATAGGTTAGAAAATATCGTATCACATCGCTCCAATAACTTTAAAAATATATATATAATCTTAAAAGAAAAAAAATCATTATAAAGTTTAGTTTAATTGATTATAAATGAAAATAATATATATACGAATTGTCATTAAATCAATTTCACATTAATTCAGATTTTATAAATTAACGATTGTTTCCACCAACCAAACATATCATATAATGCCACCATAAATCAAAAATATACATAAAGTCAATGTGTAAATGGAAAGCAACGCAACTATATTTAATTCTTAAATTTTCCAAACTTAAGAAGAGTACAGGAGTTTCCGGGCCTTTCTGTGGAGGTTTCTCCGTTTTCCGGTATAAGTGTTATAATCCACTGAATAGATCCGGTGACACACATACTAGAGAATACTTTATATTACACTGCACTAAGTATTAGATAACTGTTTGATGCAGAATGCTCAAGACTTTCCACATGTAAAAGTGAGTGATAAATAAAATTTAAAATGGAGAGTTGTTTTCAATGGATTGAAACAAAGTACGGTCTTAATGCCAACTCCTCCATGACAGAATTGAACAAGGTATTCAGGGATTGGAATATGGCCGCTCTTGTTTTCATTGGTGTCCTTATTCTGCCGGGAATCATGGGAAATTCTTTAGTGATCGCCATTTTTTACAAGGATTTTAAAAAATCGGCATACCGAACATTTGTTCTCTGGCTCGCTGTTCTGGATCTAGCTGGTTGTATTATTGTTATGCCGTATTTAATGATAAATTTAATAACCCCTGTATCTATGGACAACGAAATTATCTGTAAAGTTGGAAAATTTTTGTCGTACACCATTATGATGACGTCATATTTTATTCTGGTCATAATAGCACTGGACAGGTACCGCAAAATTTGTAGACCACATTCACTACAAATCCTTCAGTCCCAAACATCAAGGTATTGTTTAGGCATGTTAACAGTCTCCGTGATAATTTCAGTTCCTGCGCCGATTCTTTACGGAAACAGTAGCCTCGAGATCGGAATTCCCGGATTGAAGGCCACACGATGCTTCACTATGGACAAGTACAAGGGTACTCCAGCACATCTTTTGTACTATGCTGTGATTAATGTTCTGGGAGCCACAGTGACCTTTATCATTTCGGTGCTGTATATTCTAGTCATCAAAAGAATCAGATATCAATTCCATCAAAAGAAACATGAAATATTTCCAAATATTCGCAGAAATGAAAAATTGACTCAGAACGCAAATACTTCCGAGGAGAAAATAAACCGGAAGTTGATAAGGACCACGGTGACATTACTTGCTGTGACTATTTTATTTGTTCTAACAATATTCCCACATACCGTGCTTTCTCTAATTGATTATTCTGTGAAGAACTTCTTCTGTCGGTTGTCTTTTGAAGAAGGTGTGGTCTTCAATTTCGCTATCCATTTCTTTTTGCTGAATAATGTTTTAAACTGTGTTATCTATGGGTTTACTGACAAACAGTTCAAGAGGAGGATATTGCTGCTTTTTAGGAGACAAGAGTTCAACTTGTCCGAATCAAGCGATGCAACTTCTAACAGAATAGAAGAAAAAGAGGTTTAGATCAAATTATTGGGCTATAATAAGTAGCAGAAACCATGTGACACCGGTTATGTATAAATCGCGTCTATTTTGTATGATTCTGATTTGTTTGTTGTTGTTGTTGTTTTTTTTTTTTTTTTTTTTTTTTTTTTTTTTTGCAATACTTTACGAATTTTATTGATCATAGTCATTTTGTCTGAACATGCCAATAACTTTAAGAGCAAACATGTGTCTGCCTAATAAGTATAATGTTTGTATATCACGTGTATTTTTTCAAAATCACCCAAAATGAAGTGTGGATTGAAAAAAAAAATAAAGATTTCAGTAAAAATAATGTTTAAAGCCAAATGATGATCTTCAGATATCAAATTTACTATTATGTGTTGATTCCTGAGTTATAAATACATAAAGCTAATTTCCCACGATATTGGTCGTATTACATAATTCTGATATTCTGATATAGATCTGCCTATTATTTTGATCTATGTAATAGAATGCCCGGGTTTAGCAAAAATTATCACATCGGTTCGAGTTCCTGATAGAACCGTGTCATGGGAACTGAAATTCTCATACTTTGAAATGCTGATATTTTCCTATAAGACTGTCTCATATCTGTTTTATATCAGAGAGTTGATTTTGAATTTTTTGGCACAATTAACGCAATCAATGGCTCACTCCACTGTATCTTCGTGAGTAGTTAAAAGACTGGTTCACCGTCTACAGAAGAAAACTTTTGATGGCAGTCGGATTATCACACTTCAGACGGTCAAAGACTTGTAATGGACTTCACATCGACAAATGTTTCATCAAGATAAACAATAAACATTGTCATTTTCAATCAAAGCCATCTTCGATTCAAAAGAAACCCTTCTTCCCGAGGTTAAAGAGCATGTCATCACGTCCAGTGATCCCTATGGTATATTTGTCTGTAAATCAGTTCTATCGTCAAACTGTCGGAGATTTGGAGGCCGCGCGCCGGGTGCACTACGTTTGATGGCTGCTCAACTGCGCCTAATCGATTTCTGATCACATCGTTAAAGATAATCAAATTCTGATAATAAAGATAGCTGCCCTCTACAGACGATAGCCTCACAAACTTCACAGGGAGTGTATAAAATGTGATAGTCTTGTTTACGGCGTGGTATTTATGTGTAAAATAAGCTGAAATATCGGACAAAAACGCCCTTGTCTTTGATGAAGAAAGCTGATTCATAACGTTAAATTCGGGTTATGCGGCAATTTTCACTGGTCTGATAAGCAATAAAAACTTCATTTAAATTTTATAAATTTTTCAAATAATTCTTTATCAGTGATATGTAGTCTGTAGGGGTAACAAAGCCGATAAAAGTAATCAAAAAGTTAATCTTAGAAACTACAAAGAACATAAAAGATTAAATTTTTGTAAGTAAATGTTAAAAGTTTATTTAAAAAAAAAATAACGCTGCGGTACATGTAAGTAGTTTTTCGCACTGTGCAGTTAAAATTCTAAAATAATTTTTTCAGGTAATTCTCTCAAGCTCATTTCTGTGTTACATTTTATTTTGAATTTAAAAAAAAAATATCTTTAAACTTTGTTTTGATTTTCTTAAAACTTATCAAGCTGTTCTTGAAGACTACTCCGCCCACTATATCCATACATAAAACTAGAGTTATCTGCCATTCATTGAATCTCAGAGAGCAATGATAAATTTCTATATCAGCTAAACACATTAGACCATTAGATAAATAAATAAATATTATAACCCAATATAACATTCTCAGGCTATCAAATTAAATCTGCAATCTCGATAACTAACGATTTATTTACATTTTAGTCCTGTCATAGTGAGAGAGGGACGCTTTAACATTCCGATGCTGTCACTGAGTTATGCTAGGGGTGTCAGACGTTCGGGGGGTGGCAGTGCAGCCCGACCCGATGACACAGAAATATGTAAAGTGGTCAGTAACGACAAGGGCAACACATTTATTCTGGTGGTCACTTAGTTCTAATGGAAAATGGGTTCCTCTGACCGCACGCCTGGTGATTTATGAAATGGATATTTTTTGTCTCAGTTTTTTCCTTTTCTTTTAAAAAGATATTTCCCGAACATATTGTTAATGAATTTATCAAATTGTAAAATAATTTGTCGGTCTAAATTCAATTTCAAATAGAGGAAAATATTCAGATAAATTGCGTTTGAATTTTTTATTGTGTAAATTTTTCCACAAACGTTATCTAAATTGAACTTCATAAACACATTGCTATAGTCTACACTCAAATCTTTATGTGATATTTCTAATATTCCCTCTTTAATTTTACAAGCAATCTGAATTTTAAAATGTACAGCTCATGGCAAAATGTATCTTTTATTGCAATTTATTTCAGCTACACGTGTACAAGAATATCGCCTTAACATAAGTTTACAAGTTACTGTAGCTAGATGTACTTTGATTAGAAATACATGTATATTATCTTTACTTTAAAAACTTTTTTTAAATAATAAGTACAGGTATAAATGTCATTTTAAAAGCTTTAAATAAGCAACATTTAACATAACAAATTGCATGTATCCCACCACCTTGTGGGAACCAAAGACAATCCAAACCCAGGGGGTCGAAAGGTTTCGAGGGAGAACGAGAAAGAAAAATTGACGTGTGTCAAAGAAGATAGTACAAGGATGCACGTGCGATGTAAATGCACGTGCAGAACATATGTAGTGTTAATCGCTAGCGTATTTTACACTTTAAATAGCTAAAAAAAAGTTTTAATTGGAAATTCAAGATGTTGGTGAAATTGATCGAATGTAAAAACAAGAACTAGATAAACATTTGAAGAGAAGTTCACGTGTTTAGGTTTGACCCTCCGCGGCTCAACAAAATCATCAGGACGGTTTTTATACTTAACCACGCAGCTGCGAAATGTAATAAACTCTCAGAATCTACTAACAAGGTCTGAACCACTCGGAAATTAATTTTGTTTTCAAAGGTGAAAGACACATTAAACCGATACAAAAAGCCTTGACACGTCTTGTTTTCTGTAAATCTGTGCTTTCGCTGTTATTACATTTTTTATCTTGGGAAGTTATTTAAAATTTGCTTGGTAATAAAGAAGTCATTCAAAAAAAAAAAAAAAATTTCAAACCAATTTGTGAAAAGACAGTCGGAACTTCTTGAGGTTGATCCATTAAATAATTTATTTGATTTCTGTCGTATTTATTTATTTTTGTTTAATCCCAGGGAGTGTTTTTATTTATTTTGTCGTGATAAGTCTTGACGTTACTCCTGATCTCAATCATTTTCTTTCAGGTAGGATACTGGACAGACATTTAATTTCAATTTTCAAATTAAGATGCTAAAAAAATCTCTCCAAAAATCTAAGAATAATAAAACCTTTAGACGGATTTTTCCACAACTATAAAGCTAACTATTAGGATATCGCTGAGAAATAATTCTATATAAAAAGATGCTATCAATATAAGAACGTTCCTTTCATTTCAGTTCACGGCCAATTTATTTTTCAGCCGTCATCCAGGACATTCTTTCGTGAAGAATTCAAATAAACTTTAAAAATAGAGATGTAGAATTATACATGTTACATCGTTAGGAGTTCAATTTAGATGTCGAACAGCATTTGATGCATGCCAAATTTATCTGTTTAATTAGAAGCGTCATTAGCGGAGCAATAAGCATGATAAGACCATGCCACGACGCAGGCCTTGCGTAAGGTTGACGGCCGGTAGTATATGGCCACAGGCCTTTAGATCGCTTAAAAAAAATTGTGTGTGTAAAAAAAAATAAAGGTACTGAACTCTTACACTGGGTATACCTAATTTCGCTAATAAAATATTTTTTATTCGAATGCTCTAAAATTCTACTTTCTATTTAAATCTATTCATAGATAAACATTCTTCAATTCTACCAAAGCTCATTCCGAAATTCCATATATTTCTTGAGATATTCTGAAATCAATTTCAAAAATGACCTACTTTCTTTTACTCGACATTAGCTTGGGCCCCTGGCCATTCACATGTAAACAGACGGTGTCTGAAGTGCGGCGAAGAGTTGCATAGTATTTGCAAAATCTTTCAACAATTTAAAGTTGATTTCTTACTCCAGATTGTAACGTTAAGTCCGTAATAATATTCCTTTCGCGAAAAATTAATTTGAAAACGTCTACATCAACAACTACCGCCATGTTGATTACGAATGTAAATGAAGCCATGGAGAGAACGAATTTTTCCCGGAATGCATTATATACCTTTCGATTTTCAAAACAATTAGACCGCTAAAATGTTGTTTATGACTTAGTCACACCATATGTTCAAATTAAAGAAAAACCTTGTAAAGCTTGAATGCAAATGAGCAAATATTCATTGAGTTTAGAATAAATTCCGGGGAAAATTTGTCCCGTCGTTCCCGCTTTACAGTTAGTGAAGGCCCAAGCTGATGTCGAGTAAAAAAATTATTGTCAATTTGGGAATTGATTTCAGAATATCTCGAGAAGTATAAGGAATTACGGAATGAACTTTGGTAGTAATGAAGATTGTTTATTTTTGAATAGATGTGGATAGAAAGTAAAATTGTAAAGCATTTGATTTAAAAGAATTTTATTGGCGAAAGTAGGTACCCCATGAAAAGAGTTCCATACCTTTATTTTTTTTTTCAACACCTCAATTTTTTTTCTAAGCGATCTAAAGGCCTGTGTATATGGCGAAGAGCTTGGCACGCACGGGCCTCGAGCGAACAGAATTAATGGACGGGGTTTTTATGCATCATTCAATGTTAACTAGTCGTTAAGAATTTATAAAGCTAATCCAGGCTAATTTGCTTGGAAATCTGTTTGATAAAGCATGGATTTTTCCCGGACTTGGCATGCATATACCGTAAATGAAGACATATTTCGACATTTAGAAGTCATTATAAAGCATCTGACACGATAGCGCAGGAAAAAGCAGGTCGATTCTGCAAAATTTGATATTATGATTCCAATTCTCTTTTTTTTTCTCCTGAACATATAATATTTTTATGAAGCACTTTCACTGATACAGTGTACAGTTTGAAATTAAGAAATTAGAATCGAGTTTCTGTTTTCTACT